ATGTCACTGAAAAATGACTGGAGCAGCAAAAGAAAGTTAACATTGTGTTTACAGAGATTTTTGCAGCCACTTTTTGAATCAGTACATCGATCAGATGATGCACCCTGGGTACTGCTATGTCAGTATAGGATGTCTGACAACGTAGCATGCTTATTGGAGGAACTCTACCATGGTACATTTAGTTGTGTGAGGGTCAGTGATTGTATTAGAATGGTTTTCAGTAGAATCAGGAGTATTCCAGGAATGCGTGTTCTCTCTCCCCCATATTATCTTGTGTTTTAATAAACTGATAACGAAGCTGATGGAGGCCGAGTAGAAGGGGTGAAATTTGAGGATCTTGAATATGTGGATGATATTGCCTTATTTGAAGACGCTACTGACCAACTACAGCTAATGCAGAAACTATGGGACTTAAGATCATTGGTGATAAATAGAAGTACCTATAAAATGGAAACAAATGACCAGCTGATACTGCAGGTAGATGGTAATGACGTCTAATGCGTGAAGAGTTCTCTATCTGGGTAATTGGTTGACGGCAAGATGTTCTATAACTGAAGTAGTCACATGTTGAATCGGTCTTGTCAATGGTATTCAGTGTCTTCAACGGCCTCTGTTTAGGTGGCAGGATATTTATTGTTTAATGTGGTGGTGATTACAACCCTGTTATACGGAGCAGAAACATGGCCGTTGAACAGCTGAGGAGAGGAAACTAAACAGTTTTCAATATTAAAAGTTACAGCATATTCTTAACATCCACTGATTTGATTTTGTCACAAACGAGGAGATAGATGATCCCAGCAGATGCAGTCTGTCATCAGTGAAGAACAAGAAGAGTGCAGCTGTGGGGTCACGTAGAACCTCTCTCATGTAGAAGGTATGCATCTACAGAAGGTTTACAGAGCTGAGTGGAAAGGAAGCGGAGCACAAGGTCTGCCTCAAATGAGTTTGGAAGATGCAGTTTTGAAGGATTTAGGAAGCCTGAATTCTCCCATACTGACTCTTGAGGAAGGAAGATGACTTGTAAGGGATGGTTTGAGATGGAAGTCCATTGTATGCAACATCATAACCACATGAATCTACTTCATTAAATATAGGTAAAGGACTTTTCATATTAGACAATGTTAAGCATACGCATACACGCTCACACTTTGAATCTGGCCAATAGTTTCTTGGGTTTTCTTGACTACTGAAAATGTACTTTAATAGGAATTTTCTTTTTCACTGACCCACTTTCTCTTTTGTTTGATCCTACCTTGAAAAAAGTAATCCTTTTTACCAAAACAGTTGGTTTAAGTGCCTGCACCTTTGGAGGAGATAATACCGTCTAGACAGGAGACAGAAAATCATGACTCTGAATCTTGACTCAGACACCAGTTATCTCTCTATGCCTTCAAGCAAATCACTTAACCTCTCTCACTAAAGCCCCAATCCTGCAAGGGATTCCAGCACAAATAGAACCTTGTCTGCTTCTGCAGACATGGAACTTGCTGCAGGATCAGGACCTAAATTCTATAGCCCTGACTTCAATAAGGCTCTGCATGGGGTACCAGAGTCTATCCACATATAGCCAATTGTCATTAGATGCTAGAATTTTCAAAGGTGTCTATCACTGGCATTTAAATGCCAATACAACTGAACAATTTTACAATCATCAGTAAATACTGATTTAGCATATCTGTGTATATAAGCCTGTTAGCCTTATACCAGTCTTCAAATTCAAGCTGTGCCAGACTGACAATATCCTGTAATATTCTAAACAAACCTTACAGAATTAAGATTAACTTTATATGAATTAAATCTGATCAAATTAAGGTTAATACCTTTGAGGTACACTGTATTAAAAAACAACTGTGCATGTGTTATTGTGGCATTGTATGTACCTTCTCTAGTGAGGGCAGGGGGATGTGCTTCCTTCTGTTATCATCTCTTTGAAGCCACCCCCTTGCAGAGCTATGTGTATGTACTAATTCTGACAGGATTCTCCAGGGACCAACAGAAAAAGAGGATTTTTGGATAAATAGCCTGGTTTTAATCTGGCTATGGGCCTTCTTGAACCACCAAATGGACAAGAACCCTGGTCCATGGAGGGCCCCAGTCCTTAAGGTAGGGTTGGAAGCACTGGGACTACTGAGGTCTCATAAGACTAAGGCAGTGGGTCTCAACCTATTTACCATCGTGGGCAGTATATGCAGCTCTGTGTTGATGTGGGCCGTATCCACACAATATATATATATACACTACATGTATGGCCCTGAGGATGTCACCTGGGCCACAGATGTGAGCTGATTAGACCACAGGTTGAGAACCACTGGACTAAGAACTTGTTCTGAGCTGCAGCTGTGATGAACTAGTAACCACAAGGAATCCCTTTAGGTAGTGAAGGCGGTTGAAGGACTGCTCCTGCCAGAATCCATGTTAGGATTGAGATGTCTGGTAAGCTTATTACCATACATGTAAGGTTTTTCTTGTTTGTTTTCAGTACACTATCTGTAAAGTTTTTTACCTTTATTCTAAAGTAGGCTTGCATAGAAAGAACTCTGGGGTACTTACAACTGTAGCAATTACACGTTAACCATCTCTGAAGAGAAACAAATAGGTATTCCTTGGACAACCTGTCTGTGCTGGAACAACAAGGCAGGGAACTGTGTAGCTTGGAGATACCCTTCTCAGAAGGGAGAGAGATGGGAGGACTCCACCCAAGAAAGGTGACAGACTGGGGAACTGGCAGCCTGAGAACGGTGTCCTTGCTGGACCACTGAAGAGAAACATGAGTGTAGTTGCCTTGAACTATGACTCCAGCATACATGCATGCTTTAGTCTCTCCCATCTCAAAAAAAACCCCAAACACAATATCCTTAACCCCACTTGCCTATAACTACTTCCCCATCTATCTATAAACTCATTGAATGCTCTTATCTACAATTGCCTTCTGGAGTGCCTCTCCTCCAGTTCTGTCCTAGACCTTTTCCAATCTGGCTTCTGCCCCTTATATTTCACTGAAATGGTTCTTACCAAATCTCTAATGCCCTCTTTCTAGCTAAAGTTCAGAACCAGTACTCCATCCTCGTCCTCCTTGACTTGTCAGCTACCTTTGACACAGTCTTGAAATCTTGTCCTTGCTTGGCTTCCGTGACTCTCTTCTCTCCTGGTTCTCTAATCGCTCCTTCAACATGTCCTCGGGAGGATCCTCATCCACCCTGTAACTTTATGTGGGGGCTCCATCCTTGGTTCTGTTCTGTTCTCCATCTGCACTTTATCTCTGGGTAATCTCATTCACAAACACAAATTCAACCACTATCTTTATGCTGAAAACTCACAAATCTGCCTCTCAACTCCAGACCTGTCCCATTCTGTCCAAACTAAAACCATGACCTGCCTCCTGGAGATGATCTTGTGGATATCTAGCTGCCCGCTCAAGCTAAACATGGCTAAAATAAAGCTTCTAATCTCCCTTTCCCCCTACTTTCTTTCTCAATCATTGTAGATAACTCTACCACCCTTCCTGTCATTCAGGCCTGTAACATGGGTGTCATCTTCGACTCCAACCTTTCTCTAGGTTTCATATCCAGGTTACATCTAAATCTTACCAATTTGTTATGCATAGTATCTCTATATGGCCCATCTATCCACACAGTCAAAACTCTCCTTCAAGCTCTTATCACTCATGTCTCAGTTACTGGAACACCCTACTCTCTAGCCTTAACAAATGCAATCATGTCCTGCTCATATCCATTTAAAATGCGGATACTAAGATTTTCCTAGCCCATCACTTCACCCATGTCGTTCCTCTCTTTGAATCCCTTCACTGGCTTCCCTTCTCTATTGAATCAAACATAAGCTGCCTGTATTCTCTTTAACGGCCCCTCATGGCCTATCCCCACCCTATTTTCTCTCATTCACTATTGACATGTTAACTCTCACCTCCAATCATTCCATGATGCCAGGTTCCACTGCCTGTTTGTCCATGTTTTCTCCCATGCTGCCCCATATAATTGGGAGCTACCCTCTTTAAATATTCGCAAACCTACCTCATTATTTACCTTAAAATCTTTCCCCAAAATTCTCCGTTGCAGTGAGGCCTATGAAAAACTTAAGTTAGGCTGCTAATGTGCAAAGTCCACTGCCTACCATGCTGACCTGTACCTCTCATTGTTTACTTGAACTCTCCCATCTGTTTGTCTTATCTATGCTTAGATCATAATCCCCTTGGGGTACAGACCATCTTTTTGTTGTGTGTTCGTACAGTACCTAGTATAATGTGGTCCTCCTGGTTTAGAGTAGGGCCCCTAAACACTATGGTAATACAAATAATTATTAGTAATACATATGCTTCAGCATATATATGACACAAGTATGATTAAAAGAAAAGAGGATGATAATACTCAAAATGGTTACCATACCAATATATTGCCATTGCAAAACTTATGTCCATAACAACAGCCTGTAAACACCACAAAGCCCCTCCAGAAAGCCCTACATCAAAAACATCTTACAATATAGAGGTCTCATCTTGAAAACCTTTAAATATTTGAGTAACGGTTTTCAGATTCAGGCCATAAGTATGAAAAAAAAACAAAGGAGTAAAATTGGGGTCTAGAGCCAATAAAAAAGGCAGAGGTAAGGGTTTTTCTTTTGGCCATAAGGGGTTGCTGTGCAGGCAGAAGTTTGCAGTCTGTGAGCGAATGTTAGTGTGAAGTTTAGCGTCAGAATTGTATGCTACCAATAGCAAGTATTCCAATACTTTTTATTCTCTCTAATAAAAAACTTGTGACTTCTCAATCTTAACTGTTACCTTAACCAACAATTATCTTTTTGTGGGATAACAGACTTACTGATTTCAGTCAAACAAAGGGAAGAGATAAGCTGAGAGGAAGCAAATCCAAGCTTGAGCAAAAGTCTTGTTTATCAGCAAAGATAAGAACAATTATGAAACAAGGTTAATAATCTTATTTGTTCATTAACTGATACAGTTAAAGAGGATACCACAATTTGTTACTCACCTGCTGCACAAGCTGCTAAGAACTTTTCACTCTTGGAAAGCTGTTTTGCTATAAGATGTGTGCAATTTCTGTATTGCTAACAAAAACAAACAAACAAAAAAGTGTAATTGAAAATGGTTGTTTAGTTTTTTAACTACTAGCACAGACTTATAGTTTTAGCTTATAGCACAGACCATCATCCAGCCTATTTATCTGTAGACTTCCATCTTATCTGCTGCTTCCTTTTGCTCCTTCTGTGAATTTAACGAAAGAAACAACGAAGGTAGATGCTTACCTCAGTATCAATAAAAACACAGTCCAGTGTAAGTAGTAATTCAACTATAGCCTCCTTTTCTTGTTTCTTAAATCCAGTTAGTTGGATTCTCCGTTTCTGGACAGCAGTCGCCATCTGTAAAATGTTGTGGGGTTTTTTTGGGCGGGGGGGGGGGAGGAAAATATATGCATAAATTGTTTGTACAATTTGTATTCGAACTTTCTATTCCTTCCACATTTTTGGATAAAATTAAAAACTTAATATAGCTCTATAAGCAAATGATTCTATTAGAGTAATGCTACTTTGAGATACTACAAAAATGACCATTTTAAAATTGTTACTAAGTAGCATTAATGTACACTAAAGATAATAGCCTAAAGCAGAGGTTCCAGACAATGCTGAGCACCTACATGATGCTCCCAGCTCTGCACCTTTGTGTGCCAGCCTACCCACCTCAAGGAAGAGAGTTAGACGTGCCAGCAAGATTTGCTGTGACTGTTCCCTAACCAACCCCCCGGCCGCATACAGAGGGACTCAGACCAGCCACTGAGGGGGGAGGTCCATAATAAGCAAAGTGAAACCAGCTGTCCTAGGCAAGGTAGGTTGTAGCAGAAAGGGCCCCAGGGAAATAAATTTGTTAGTCTAAGGTACCACAAGTACTCCTTTTCTTTTTAATAGGAGGAGTAGAACAGAAGGGGAGGAGACAGGATGTTGAATGGAGGTGGCGCCAATAACTGCATTTTCAAAACTGAACCAGCATCTGGACTTCATGGGGCACCACCAGTCAATTCTACATGGATATTAGTGCACAGTTTGCATGGCATTGCTAGGCCTAGGGCGTGCATCATGGTGGGGTACCCAGCTCTCCCCCGCCCACACCTACCATGGGGCCTGGGAGCAGGGGGAGGCCACACTCGGTCACCCCAGGGCGCTCACCTTTCCCTACCCGGGACGGTCGCGCTCACAGAGCCGAGGCGGATCAAACAGCCCCTCTCGTGCCTGCTGGCATTAGCTGCCCAAGCGCTGCTGTGGGGAGAGGGCAGCGCAGCAGCGGCTGCAGAAGACCCAACCCCGCCTTTACCGGAGCTGCTGTAAGAGACGGCGGGCGCGCTGCCGTACCAGCCCCTGCAGCCTCCTTCCCGCCGGCCCCGCCCCCGGATGTGGGACCCAGCCGTTCCGGGACGTTGTCACTGACGCTCCCTGGTCTCTGGGGCTGTGAGCACGGAGCCGAGCGTGGCCCGGCCGGTAAGTGAGCCTGGCGGGGCGGAGAGACTGTGGGGAGCAGGGTCCGAGACATCCCCGGGCCGCTGTGTCCCAACACGCACCTCCTGGGGAGCGGGGCCCCACTGGAACCGCCCCGGCAGGCGCCCTGCTCCCCACTAGCCCCTCTCCTGCCCCCGGGCCCGGCTCCCCTCCAGCCCCCCCAACAGGACGCTCCTTGTGACTGACCGTTAGCGCCCCCCCCCCCACACACACACACTCTCTCGTGCCTGTGAATAACTAGCTTGGCTGCCTGACAGCGTGTGGCGCTCCGGCTGCGCTCGCCAGGGCCGGGTCACATGCCGTGTGCCACCGTCTGTCGCGGGGTGAGCAGATGGTGACGACCCCAGGCTGCCCCCCCACCCCACAATTTATTTCTTTTGCCAAGTGGTGGTGGTGCTATAAATTAAAGACGGCACTTTTGGTTAGAAGGGCCTGGAACTAGTCGGGACACTGGGATGGGGAGGGTCTGTTTCTGGTCCTGCGCTGACTTCTTTTGTGACCTTGCACAAATCATAAAAACAAAGAGGAGGCCGGTGGCACCTTAAAGACTAACACATTTATTTGGGCATAAGCTTTTGTGGCTAAAAAAACCCACTTCTTCAGATGCATGGAGTGAAAATTACAGGCATAAATATATATTGGCACCTGAAGAGAGTTATCTTACAAGAGGAGAACCAGTGTTAACAAGGCCAATTCACTCAGGGTGGATGTGGTCCTCTCCCAATAACTGATGAGGAGGTATCAATTCCAAGAGAGGGAAAATTGCTTTTGTGTGAGCAAGCCACTTTCCGTCCCTATTCAAGCCCAAATTGATGGTGTTAAGTTTGCAAATGAATTGTAGCTCTGCAGTTTCTCTCTGAAGTCTGTTTTTGAAGTTTTTTGTTAAAGGATGGCTACTTTTAAATCTGTTATTGAATGTCCGGGGAGACTGAAGTGTTCTCCTACTGGCTTTTGTATGTTACCATTCCTGATATCTGATTTGTGTCCATTTATTCTTTTATGTAGAGACTATCCGGTTTGGCCAATGTACATGGCAGAGGGGCCTTGCTGGCACATGATGGCATATATCACATTATTTTTTGTTGACGAATGGCTAACATAGACCTTCTTTGCCTCAGTTTCCCCACTAGGCAAATAAGTCTTAGCCACCTACTTCAAAAGAGATGTTGTGAAGTTTGATTAATGGCAAGTTTGAAAATTCAAGTCTTCTACAAATGCTAGGTATCCCTGGTTAGTATTATCTAGGTCAATTGGTTTTAGTCTCAAAAAGAAAAGGAGTACTTGTGACACCTTAGAGACTAGTCTGTTACTAGATGGAAATGGTAGAATTGTGGAGAAAAAGCAGAAGTGTTAAATAAATATTTCTGTTTTGTATTTGTAGGGGAAAAACAGATGATGTAGTCATGATAGTAACACTCTTTCCATTCCACTGGTGTACTCAGGAGAATGTTAAATAGTAACTATTAAGATTAAACACTTTGAAATCAGCAGGTCCAGATAACTTGCACCCAAGAGTTTTAGAAGTGCTGCTTCAGGTGCTCATTGGACCATTAATGTTGATTTTCAATAAGTCTTGGAATCCAGGGGAAGTTCCAGAACACTGAAGAAAATTAATGTTATGCCAATATTTTAAAAGGGTAAGCAGGATGACCCGGGTAACTATAAGCCTCTTAGTTTGCCATCAGTCCTAGGCAAGAAGATGGAGTGCTTGATATGGGACTGCATAAATAAAGAATTAAAGGAGGATAACATAATTAATGCCAAAAGAAAAAGAATACTAGTGGCACCTTAGAGACTAACCAATTTATTTTAGCATAAGCTTTTGTGAGCTACAGCTCACTTCATCGGATGCATTCAGTGGAAAATACAGTGAGGAGATTTATATACACACAGAACATGAAAAAATGGGTATTATACACACTGTAAGGAGAGTGATCACTTAAGATAAGCTCATTATAAATTGGTTAGTCTCTAAGGTGTCACTAGTACTCCTTTTCTTTTTGCGAATACAGACTAACACGGCTGCTACTCTGAAACCTGTCATAATTAATGCCAGTCAACTTGGTTTTATGGAAAATAGATCCCCTCAAACTAATTTTATGTAATTTTTTATGAGATTCTTAAGTTTGGTGGATGAAGAGAATGGTGTTGATGTAATGTGCTTATATTTCTGTATGGCATTTGACTTGGTATCGCACAACACTTTGTAAAACTGGAACAATATAAAATGAAGATGGCACACATTAAATGGATTAAAAGATGATAAATTGATAGGTCTCAAAATAGAATTCTAAGTAGGGAATAATCATTAAACAGCTGTGTTCCTAGTGGGGGTCCTATGGGGATCAGTTCTTTGCTCTATGCTATTTGACCTTTTTATCAATGACCTGGAAGAAGACACAAAGTCATCAGTGATAAAGTTTGCAGATGACAGAAAAATTGGGGGAGTGATACCTAATGAAGAGAATAGGTCACTGATACAGAGCAATCTGGATTGCTTGGTAATCTGGGCACAAGCAAATAATATGTGTTTTCAGATGGCTAAATGTAAATATATGCAAGTAGGACAAAGAATGTAGGCCATACTTGGGGACCTCTTTCCTGGCAAGCAGTGACTTTGAAAATGATTTGGGGTCATGGGGGATAATAAGCCGAACATGAGCTGCCGGTGTGATGCTATGGCCAAAAGGGCTAATGGAGTCCGGGGGTGCATAAATAGGGGAATCTCAAGCAGGAGCTGAGAGGTTATTTTACTCCTGTATTTGGTACTGGTGTGACAGTTCCTGGAATATTGCATCCAGTCCTGGTGTCCACAATTCAAGAAGGATGTTGATAAATTGGAGAGGGTTCAGAGAAGAATCACGAGAATTATTAAAAGATTAGGAAATGTGCCTTATAGTTAGGTTTGGAAGGATTAGCTTGGTTTCAGTTTTACCATACACACAAAAACTCAAAAAAAAAAAAATTTCCATAAAACATAATTGAAATTTACGGATAGGTAAATAAAGAAAAATACTGCTTGAGAACTCATTACAGTTTGATTTGGGGATATTTACTTCGTATATCAAAATATACATGTGATACTGACAATTTGTGTTTTAATGATTACAAAGCTTTAACTTTTTGAATTTCAACATTGCTGTCATTAAATAATTATCTGATACCTGTTGTTGTCTGCCCCCCATAATTTCCCACAACTGTGAAAGATTATAGATAAAAATGGATGAAAAATACTTAACATATATAATTTTTCACAGTTTTGGAACTTTAAATAGATAAAAATGAGAAAAATGCTTTAAAATATACATTGATATCTGTCAAAATTATATAAAATTTTTTTTTTTGAATTCTGCCAAACCTACTTATAGAAATAAGTTAAATAGATTGAGCTGCTGGTGCCTAACAAAGAGAAGAGCTAGAGGGGGACCAAGTCAGTCTGGTGGGGTACAGAAGCACAGTGCTAGGGAACTAAGCAGAATGGCTCAGGCTTGGGAAGGAAGGACAGTGTCTGCGGCTTCTGTATCCCCTGGATGACACAACCTCGAGGAACTTGCAATAGATCCCAGTATTCCTGCGCCTGAACATACCTCTGTTGCCAGTAAATATCAGTGAAACCGACTGGCAAAGTGTGTCTCATCTCCTAGAGCAGCAGTTCTCAAACTGTGGGTCACGACCCCAAAGTGGGCCACAAGTTTCTTTTAATGGGGTCGCCAGTGCTGGTATTAGACACCCTGCTGCGGGGGGCGGAAGCTAAAGCCCAAGCCCCACTGCTTAGGGCTGAAGCCAACACATGAGCCACTTAGTTTCACTTGCCCCCTGTGGAATGGGGCCACGGGTGATTTCCCTGCTTACCACCCCCTAACACAAGCCCTGATTCTAGACTCTATGTTCTAGACTCTATAATTTAGAGTAATACTGGACACTGAGATCGTGTAGTAATTTTTGTTGTCGGAAGTGGGTCGCAGTGCAATGAAGTTTGAGAATCCCTGCTTTAGAGGCTGATCTACATACTGGATGACAACCTGTTCCTGCTATTCGTTACTATGTTAGCTGATGTGGCAGAGGTCTGTACAATGCATTAAAGGTTCTGTTACCCCAAAATCAGACCCAGGGTACCCCCAGAATAGCTTATCTGTTGCCCCCTCCTGGGTTTACCAGAAGTTCCCTTCAAGGTAGCCTACTAACCTATTAATAGGTTTCTGAATGGTGAAAGGGGGCTCACCCTAGAGAAATTCCCTGGGTTTACTAGAGGTTCCCTTTTCAGAAAAACTCCCCAGAGTATCCTAGATCAGTTACCTTTGGGAGGACACAGATACGGTCTTCTGATATAGTTGATTGACACACAGGCAGTACTTTTCCAAAACAAAGTATCTTCTATTACAGTAGCACACTGATGTTTCCTGGCTACAATGTAATCTCATCAACACAATTCCTACAGATTTAAAAATATCTGAACTGCAATGTCGTACAATTAGAACAGTACTAAGTGTTGCACCCTACATATGGTGATTAGTCATGTGCAGTCGCTGACAGAAATTTTACATTGTTTTATATGTATAAAGTTTAAGCTCTAACACAGTGGTTCTCAACCAGGGGTGTGCAAATGTCTTCCAGCTCATCTGGATATTTGGCTCGTTTTATAACAGGCTACATAGAAAGCACTAGTGAAGTCAGTACAAACTAAAATTTCATACAGAGAGTGAGTTGGTTATACTGCTCTATATACTCAAATGTAAGTACAATATATATATTCCAATTCATTTATAATATGGTAAAATGAGAAAGTAAGCCATTTTTTAAGTAATAGTGTGCTGTGACACTTTTTGTGTCTGATTTTGTAAGCAAGTAGTTTTTATGTGAGGTGTAACTTGGGGATACTCAAGACAAATCAGACTGCTGAATAGGGTACAGTAGTCTGGAAAGGTTGAGAGCCACTGATCAAACAGAAATACACATCTTTATTGCTCCAAACATACTCATTA